ATTTTACCTTCCAGGAAAGACTCACAAGTTGGAAAAGCCTCGACTTCTAACGACCCCAAGGGCCCGTCTGCTACCAACCTTTAAATCCTCCTAAGGTTAATATGACCAAGTCTTAGATGCCAAAGATATGTTTCGTTCATTTTAGAAGGTTCCTTTCTCTTATTCAGATTAGATGATGAATTAAGTAATTGTTTCTGTTGCAGTGGAGATGACTTAGATTCTAGAATGTATAGATTGTCAACTAATGAACCAGAATATATAAACTTTTTTCCAAAACAAATAACAACTTTATTATCAAACGTAGCGGAAAAACCGTTCATAAACAACTTAGAAACTGAAATCAAATTCTTTCTAAAACTGGGAACATAAAGACAATCTTTCAAAACTATAAACCTATCTAAGCCAAAATCTAAATAGACGTCTCCCACTGCAACTGCTGACGCTCTACTAGCATCGCCCAAGTAGATGGTAACTTCTCCTTCCCTAAGTCGCTTGGTTTCCTGGAACCCCTGCAATAATTTGCAAACATGATCAGTGGCTCCGGTATCTACACACCAGGTACTGGTAGATAACACCGCTAAACATGTTTCAACGACTAAAGAAAAAGGAGTACCTTTGTCTGGTTTTCTGGGAAGAGGGCAGTTTACCTTCCAGTGTCCTTTCTGCTGACAGTGGTAGCACTTGCCTTTCGGCTTCTTCGTTTTTTGTCGAGGTTGTGCGTCACTCATGACCGCCTTGCCCTTTCCTGCGGACTTCTTCCTCTTCTTGCCCTTAGGAGCCTTAGAAGTGGAAGCTTCTCCCCGCCGGGCCACTATGGCTTGGGTCTTCTGACGAAACATGCCCTCTGCCGACTGAAGTTCAGCAACAAGTTCCGGAATAGTCATCAACTTCTTATTCATGTTGTAATTCAACTGGAATTGCTCGAAGCTCTTCGGCAAAGACTGGAGCATTATATCGACCTGGGTTTCCCCATCAATAAAAGCCCCAAGAACCTCCAGCTCATTCAGCTGGGCCATCATA